TAGAGCTGAGGAAGAAGAAAAAAGGAGGATTCCTAATAACATCTGAGCATCTGGATCCAGCTATGCCTGAAGCTAGAAACCCCCGCGCTTTTCAGTAACGTCGGCCAACAAGTTCTCTTTTTGCCTAAGCCATTTGAGCAAAAGCCAAATTCTCCAGGTGGGTTGAAGGATTTTCTCCATGCTCTGGCTCCATGATGACGACAGGTTAGCAGAGGGAAAATAAACTGGGGAGAGGGGGTGGTTGTTTCACATATTTGGAGACAAGACCCAAATAGACATACCCGAGACAGAAACTTCCTGTTGCCCCTGCCCTGGAAAGGGTGACTTCCTTAGCCTCCACTTTGGGACTCCAGCTCCAGCCCCCACCCTAGAGTGGTGACTATTCATTCAACAAACGCTCGTGAGAACCCACTATGAACCTGACCCTAGGCCAGGCAACAGACACAGAAATGGAAAGGTGGTCAGTGACCTGGAAGGGTTTTCAGACTAGAAGGGGACAAAAGTCTGCAAACAAGCCTTCATAATGCAGGGTGACGCTATGACGGGGGACACACAGGCAAGGAGCGTGGGGATCCCAGAGGTAGACGGCCTATTCCTACTGATGTAGGGAGGCCATGAAAGAAGGCTTCCCGGAGGAGGTGGTGAAGCCTGAGATAAGACCCAAAAGACAGGCAGAAGGAAAACCAGCGACTAAAGGTGGGAAGGATTGTCCAAGCAGAGGCAACCTGGAGAGTGACGGCGGGGACATGATGACATTACTGGGCTGCCATGGATGGAGCACTTAGCATGTGCCAGGCTCCGTGTTAAGTCTTTTGCGGGGATCAGCTTTTTCGTCCTTTTGACAACCCTATCGGGTTACTAGCATCCACCCCATTTGACGGGAGCAGAAACTGAGCGACAGGCAGATTAAGCACACGTTTGGAGGCGAGAAAGCCAACATTCCAACCGAGACAGGCTGGCTCTGGAATGTCCAGAATAGCGAAGAGGGGGCAGGGGGAGAGAGAGTTACAGGATCACACTGGAAGAGCAAGTGTGATTGGTGGGGGAGGAGAGGGGGTGCGGGGGGGGGGGCAGGGGTTACGGGAGGCTCCTGTCCCCCCGGCGAGACTGGCTACCTAGTTTGAGGGGTCCAGCGCAGAACGAAAGTGCCAGATCCTTCGTTCAGAATTTCCTAAGAATCTCCAGACAGTGACAGCAGAACATTACACAGAACATTACCCTTCCAAGCGTGGGCCCTGTGTGACCGCTGGGGTCGCACGCCCACGAAGCCAGCCCTGCTCCCGGGTTTCCGTCCCGGGTGCCTGGAGAAGATTGGGCGGTTACCAGTGACCGAAGAGTCCAGAAGTCCGTTTGGGGCCCCCCGGGGGGGGGGGGCAATAGAAAATGGGGAGTTCTGTTTGAGGCCTTGAGGTCCAAGTCCAGAAGGCGGATGGCTCGGGGTCTGGCGCTCACAGGTGAGGTGGGGGCCATGGGTCCGCCCGCAGTGCGCCCAGGATACCAAAGGCCCCTCCGGCTACAAAGTTCCGTGCTGCCTTCAGCAGCAGCACTTGCCAACGGACCCCGGATGATGTCTTTCTGGGTCCCTTTCTGGGTCCTGCCACCAGCTCCCTCCTGCAGCCACCCTGGCACCAGCTGCTTCTCCCGGGGATGGCTGGCTCCCATTTTTCCGAGGGCTGGGGGTTCCTTTTGTAAGCCCTCGGCCTCCAGGCTAGATTTGTGTCCAACCTCCCTCAGACACCGGCCTTGGGGACCTGTGTTGAAAGATCCTCAGCAGCCTGGCAGTGTGTAAGCTTTCCCTGGAGCTCACCTCTGCGAGATCCCCGGGAGACGCGGGTAGGGTCTGTTGCACGCTCTCACCGTGAGGAGGAATCTGCAGCCCAAAGCGGTCAGCCACCTGCCCCCATGTCCGTGTCAACCGGGATTGCTTGTGTCAGCGCAGCCCCGCGGAGGCTCCCCAGCGTCCCAGCCTCCTGCTCCACGTCGGCCGGACCCGGAGAACCCGGCCCAAGCACTGCCTTCGTTCATTCACTCACCCTGTTCCTTCATTCGGCAGATTATTTCCTAAGAACATACTACGTAACAAACACTGGGGGCGAACAGAGAGAGATGAGTGGTTAGTGACGCAAGTAATTAACCTCTTAGCACCTTGAGAAGGGCTAAGACGAAGGGTGGAACGGTGAAAGGGGGCTCAGGGGCCGGGGTGGGGAGCGTGTGGCAGTCCCCTTGGCTGTAGCGTTTCCCAGCCGTGGCTACATCAATGCACCTCCCGTCCTGTGTGCTCTTCTTGGGACAGTGACCTCCGTCGAAGGGTGTGGTCTATGTTCCCTGCCTTGAACTGGACAGACACCGATAGAATACGCCAGAAGCTCCGCTCAATGACTTACCCAAGTCTAGGTCTTGTAGTGCAATGTGACTTCCACCTGGCCCTCTGGGGACAAGCGCCTTTGTAGCCCTGAGTGGCCCTGTCATGCTTTGGGTCATGAGAGACCCAAGCAGACGGCCCAGCTGAGCTGGTCTTGAATTCCTGACCCATAGAAACCCTGAGAGGTAATAAATGTTTGCGGTTTTTTTTTTTTTTTGACGTTTATTTATTATTGAGAGACAGAGAGACACAGAGCATGAGCAGGGGAGGGGTAGAGACAGGGGAAGACACAGACTCTGAAGCAGGCTCCAGGCTCTGAGCTGTCAGCACAGAGCCCGACGCGGGGCTCGAACTCACAAACTGCGAGATCATGACCTGAGCCGCAAGTCAGTCGCTTAACTGACTGAGCCACCCAGGCACCCCCGCCCCCAATTGTTATTTTTGTTTTAAGCCACTGAGTGTTGGTGTAATTGGCTGAGGGCAACAGTAACTGGAACACTGCTGAAAGGTGGGGGTGAGGGTGGGTGGACAGAGACAGCAGCATGTGCAAAGGCCCCGAGGTGAGAAGGAAGCACTGAAATGAAGGTGCAGAGGCTGCCAGGGCCATCTCCCAGGCTTTCCAGACTCTTCCTTTGATCCTACCCACATTTCTCCAGTAAACAGGTAATCCTGTTTCCTCTTCTGTACAGAGATCCATGAGTGTAATAACGGGACCATGGGAAGAAAATTACATCTCGTGCAGTCATTCATTCTCTCCATCAGGAAGATTAAATGCACGAGCCTGCCCTCCTGCCCCGGCTCCAGGCCATGCATCTCCACGCTGTGTGACTTCGGGCAAACCACTCTCCTGCTCTGTAAAATGGGGACGATCGCGGCACCGGCCTTGTTGGGCTCGCACCGCGGGGCTCCACCAACACAAGACAGTCGCCCTGCACTCTGGGCTCACCGGTGCCAGACGCCAGGATAAACCCGTGGCCGGCATGGACATGCGTCTTCCTCGCAAGGTCGGGGGTGGTGTGACCCCATTTACAGCCGAGACAACTGAGGCAGAGGTGGGCAAGCAGGGTCGGGAGCACGCAGGAAGTTCAGCGAATGCTGGTGGCTGATAACCAGCTGCCTTTCCTTTTCCTGCCAAAGCCCCACACACCTGGTTTAATGTCCTCAGTCCCCCGGATGCGCCCCTGGTTCCCCCTGCCCCCAAGCAGCCTGCCCCATTCAAAACTCCCTAGGATTTGGGAAAACAAAGGGTAAAAAAACAATAGCAAACAGCTGGGGTGGGGGGGGTCCACTCTGGGAAAAGCAGCAGAGAAAGGCGGAAGGCGGTGCCCTGGAGAGAGATGCAACCACTCCTGGGTACCTCTTGCCCTCCGCCACCCTCCACCCCCCGCCACGTCCCCACAAAACAAGTCCTGTCCTGCTCTCGTGGGCGGTACATGCTGGTGGTTTGGGGGAGGGGAAGTACACAGTAACTATGACGCTGATAACAGCTATAGAAAGTATTTATGTAGCGCTCACCCTCCGCCATCCCTGCTCAAACTCACTTAATTTTCACACTCTGTGAAGTGGGTGGTGTTATTTTCCTCGGTTCGCCAAGAGGAAACAGAAGCACAGAGAGGTTAAGCGACTGGCCCGAAGTCACACAGCTGGTCTAGCCAGGATTTAAACCAGGAAACAGGTAAACAAGCGAAACAGAAGGTCCTCAGTTTCCAGGCTGAGGACTCACATACATTCAAGAGATGGGGTCTACCCCGCTGGGGCAGGATGTGGACGCATAACATCGTCAGCCGGCCACCCAGGAGCCGGGGCGGGGGAGTCAGCCACCTCTGACCCCAGGGCTAGGAGAGACACTTCTTCACCAGAAGCTATTCTCCAAGCAATCCATTTCCTCCCCTCCAGCCAGATGCAGTCCTAGAACAGTGTGCCCCGGGACAGGACAACCCCTCATTGCTGTCACATCTGCTGAGCAGGGCCACCCCAGGGCACAACATCCCCCAGGCCCCACGGGAGAAGGGAGGAAGGGAGCCAGCTCCCTGCTGGGAGCGCCGACTTCCCTGGCCTCGCAAGGAATTTCTCTTTCTCTAGAAACAGATTGGACTCTCTGCCTCCTTCCAAGCCTCACCCCTCTGCCCCCCTCCTTTTGCTCTCTCCGGGGGTCACTTTGCTCATGTTCCAATGTTCCAAGCACTAACATGGAATCGGAGTGTGTGGGTGGGTGGGGGGCGGGGGAAGGTAGAGGGGGAGAGGGAAGGGGAAGGGGAGCTGAAACTTGAGATCCCAGCCTTGGGGGGGTGGGGGGGAGGTTGGAGAGAGACAGAGAGACAGACAGAGACAGGAAGAGAGGGTTCACCCGGGTTTGGTTTTCCGAAGCAGGCAGCTTTGGGGGTTTGGTGTTTGTGTCTGTGCGTGTGTGCGTGTGCGTGTGTGTGTGTTGTTTTCTTTCTCACAGGGAGGCCAGGCCTCCCCTGGATAGCAGATAACTCAGAGGCGAGGCCAAGCAGAGAGAGCAGGCCCGGTGCACGGGGACCGGGCAGCCTCCGGCCGGAGTGAGGAGGAAGGAAGGGAAAGGGTTAGGGGGTGTCTGCGGGGGCGGGGAGCAGAGGCGGTGGGAGGAAGCCGCAAGTATAAATAGCTGCCCTGGACAGAGCTCGGCCAAAACAGGGGTTTGCAGCTGCGGAGGCTCGGTGGGCAGGCATCCCGGGCCCGGAGCCGGGCGGAGCGCCGGGGTGGGGGTGGGGGGGGGCCCTGACCCGACACCCGTCACCATCGCCGCATCTCCGGATGCTCTCCCGGCCGGCCATGCTGCTGGGCGGCCTCCTCCTCCTCGCCGCGGCCGCCGTGACTGTGGCCCAGCGGAGGGGGCAGGAGGCGGCCGGGCGCCGCCGGGCGCACCGCGTCCAGCACGGCCAGTGCAGCTACACCTTCGTGCTGCCCGAGCCTGAACCCTGCCCACCCGAACCCGAGGCCTTCGGGGGCTCCAACAGCCTCCAGAGGGACTCGCCCGCTGCCGCTGCACTGAACCTAGGGGACTGGCCGGCCCAGCGAGTGCGACAGCTGGAGAAGGTGCTGGAGAACAACACGCAGTGGCTGCAGAAGGTAAGGGCGGGGCCTACCCAGGGGGCGGTGGGCGGCACGGGGGCCTGTCCCCACGGACGGGGGAACGTCCTCCCTGGAGGCCTTCCCGGCACAAAGGCCAGGCCCAGGCAGCCATTGTCTCTGAAGTGTACAGATTGGGGTAGTGAGGAACAGAGAGGGGCAGGGATGGCCCTGGTGCCGCACAGCATGGCTAGGCAGGGTCAGGGCTGGAAACCTGGCTCCCTCACAGCCATTCATTCGCTCATCCAATAGAAATCCACGGAGCTCGATCACAGGCCTGGCCCATCCTGGGTGCCAGGCATGTAACAGTAAACAGAACAATACGTCCCCTGCTGGACTGGTGGGGGAAAGAGGCCAGAAAGAGATGTGCAATAAAAATCTGCTATGTGAGACGGTGAAGGAAAATGAAGGAGGGAAGACGGCAAGCAGTGGTGGGCTGGCTATTTGAGGCCAGGTAATTCGAGAGGACTTCTCGGAGGAGGTGGCGTTTGAACCCAGAAAGCAAAGTAAGGTAACGGAGCGGCCCACGCAGGTACCTGCGGGGAGGGCGTTTGCTACAAAGGGAGCAGCAACGGCTGTGAGGTGGGAATGCTGTCAGGGTGCCTGGGGAACCGGGGGGACCAGTGCTGCTGGAGCAGAGAAGATGGGAGAAAGGGGTGCACCAGGAGATCTGAGAGGGGAGGGGAGGCAGGTCGTGTCGGGCCTTGGGAGCCACCGCGCGGGGGGGGCGGGGCCCACTCTGGCCCTCTCTTGCTCTGAGCATCAGAGCCAAGTGCATGGCTTTGAGCAGGGGAGACACCCCTGACTTGCTTTGAACAAAATACACTGTAGGGGGCAGGGGGCAGGGTGCATGCGGAGGAGAAGGCTGCTTAGCCACCGGGCAAGAGGGAAGAGGGGCCTGGAGCCGGACTGGGCCGGGAAGATGAGGATTTATTCTGACGGAGGAACATCGGTCCTGCTGATGAATTGGGTACTGGGTGGCAGCGCGTGAGGAGCTGCGGACACCCCTCACTGTTTTGGCCCAAGGTCAGGGCCACTCTAGGGCCTTTTGCCTTCGTGCTTTCTGTCGACACTCAGCACCCGCCGTGTGCCAAGCCTTCAACAAGGCACCGAGTACAGAGGCGAATGAGGCAGGTTTGGCCCTGCACAGGCATGGGGGCGGGAAAGGCGTCCGTGGGTTCCAAGATCAGGTTGGCAGGAGCCTCTAAGTGGCGGCAAGGAAGGGAGAGAATGAGCCCCGGGCCGCAGGTGCAGAAGACGGTCTGAGCAGTGGCACGGGGTGGAGGGAGGTAGACTGCTTCCTAGAGCCTTCAAACGGATTCAACAGTACACGGTGCCTCTCCAAGCATCAGTGCCTTCTTACTCCTTGGTGTCTAAATTGCTCAAAGCATGTGCCCAAGCAGCAAACAGTGTCCACTCCCCTGATACGTGCATATTTACTTAATATTTTTGCACACGTACCCATATTAATATACGTCCAGGGCATAAAACAAAATGAAATGGAACCTTCCATTTGCAAAAAGATGATGTACGAAATCACGTTCGTTGAAGTTCTGATAGTTTCCCCTGCTTTCCGAAGGATTGCCTTGAGCACACCCTGGGTTTATCTATCCCCAAGGTGGAGAGACTACCCTACACGTATCCAACCAAACTGCTTTGTGCATACTCACATATACACTCGTGTGCACCCACACTTAACCTCCTGTCTTATTCTTGCCCTAACCATCTAGCTCCTCAGCCCCCAACTCACCATCTTCTCTTTGTCCCTTGCCCACTTGCCCTCCCTCTCACCTGCCCTGTCGGCTTGCCACATCTCACCCCTAGATCCCTCCTGAGGGAGTTCTTGGCCTCACGCACTGGAGCCAACCCAGTGGGGGCTCCGTGCTGCTCTGAAATCTGTGTGTTTCTGGTTCCACGAGGGCCATTTCAAACCTCACCTCCACCTCAAGCCTCCGTTTTTATTGTCCCCCACCCTCCCACCAGACCAATGGCCCCCTGCTTCAATGAGAAATGAGGACAAAGGGAGAGCCACTCTTCAGTTGCCTGCCCCACACCTGCAGGTTCACCCGTACGTCCACCAGTCCCCAGAGCCTTTCTCCAGCTCAGAGGGTAGGGGTTCCTCTATGGGCCAAGGTCACTCTTCCTTTCTAGGATGTAGATCCCATCCCCCTGCAGCCCCTGAACCTCCCCAAGCCAGCTGTCCCCTTCTGTACTCCCCCTCTGCTGATTCTTCCCCCTTCAGTGTTTAGTCCCATATAAGTATCTTCCATGGGGGAAAAAAAAAAAAGAGAGAGAGAGAGAGAGAGAAAGAGAGAGAGAGAGAAGGAAGAGTAGAGCAAACAAGCCTCTTATCCAACCTACACTATCTGACTTCTGGCCTGGGTCTCAGAAGTCCACACAGTCTGCCTCCACTTCCTCACATCCCACTTACTCCTTCCCCCAAAAGTCACCTCCCACATCCAATGGCCATGGCTCGGTCTTCATCATACTTGGTCTCCTGACAAATTCAATGTTGCTGACCAGCACCATCCTTCCAGAAACTGTCTCCATCAGCAAGCCCTCATCCACCAAGCATGCCTGCTCTGACCTACCTCCCTACCCCTTCCCCTACCTTGCCCCACTCTGGACCACCTCCATCTCCTACCTGGGCGGTCATCATGGCAGCCACCCTGGGCTCCCTGTTTCCACCCTGGGCCCCACAGTTCATTCATTCAGCAGACAGAGGGGTCCTAAGTTAGATCCTGTCCCTCCTCTGCTTAAAACCATCCTGGGACTCCCATCTCTTTGGAATAAAAAGAAAATCCTTGGTCTCTGGAACACTCCTCTCCCAGATGCCCACATGGCTCACCCAACCTCCCTCAGGTCTCTCCTTAAATGTCACCTCTTTAGAGAGGCCCTCCCTGTCCACCCCATTTAAAATAACCCTCTGTCACTCTGTATCCCCTCAACCTGGCTTTGGTGTTCTCTCTTAGCACTTATCACTACCCATTCTTAGAGCATTCCTGTTGGTCTGTGCCCTCCAGGAGGGCAAGGATCACATCTGCTTTGTTCACTACTGAGTTCCCAGAGCCCAGAACAGTACCTGGCAGAGGGTAGGTGTTCCAAACGGCTGCGGAATGAATGAACATATGGGTGCGTGACCGTCCCTGAGTCCCTCCAGTCGCTCGGGCCCTCCCCCACCCTGAAATGCCAGTGTCTCCCAGGACTCTGTCCCTGCTCCTCCTTTCCACTTGCACTTCATGGCACTGCCCCCAGGGCTCCTGCAGCACCCTTTCCCACCTGCCCCCTGATGATGCCAAACCGGCATCTGATGGGTTCCTGAGCCCCAAATCCGTGACCCTGACCCTGCAGATGTCTCCCCTCCAAGAGCCCATGGTGCCTCAACCCTGAAGCTGCCTGACAGCTCTTCCCTCCCTGCCCACCTGTCTCTGTTTAAGGCCTCCTGTGGCCCCGGGGGATGCCCACCGGCCCCTAGGCAGAAGGACCCGTCCATCCTGTGGCCTCCGCTTCTCTCCTCATGGTGTATCCTCCTGTCTTCCCAGCTGCCTCCCTACCTCGTGCAACCCCATCCCCTCCCTCCGGCTTCTCTACCCCAAGCCTCACCCTCCCATCCACCTTTGACTCCCCCGGGTGCCTGGTGCTCAGACATCACTGGCTGAGCCAAAGGAAGCATTTAAACCGGTGACTTTCAGATCAGAAGGGCACCCAGCCCACCTCTTCCACCTGTGGCACAACGCCCTCTCCAGACGTCCATGGGGCGCCGTGGGGCAAAGAGCACTGTTGCAGGAGGCAGGCTGACCTGAGTTCACATCCCGGTCTGGCATTTACTTGGCTGTGGATGAGCAAGCCTCAGTTTCCCTATCTGCAAAATAGGAACGTGTCGGGGGATGGCTGGGACGACCACGGCGACCGCTCCCACGCCGCTCTCAGCCTGCTGCCCGACTAGAGCACGTGGTTCGTGAGGACACGGGGTAGCTTACCTGCGCCGGGATGCAGTGGACCGATGGGCTTTTATTTAACTCGCTCGTATCTCCAGTGTGAGCCCCGCACTGCTGGGTGAGGGCAGCGCACTTGGGGACGAGTCAGTCCAATGGTCCCCGTCCGATAGCCTTGGGGCTGGGAACATCACTTGTCCATGCTGGTGGGCCCCAGGAGGCCCCCAGTCCTGCCTGGTCTCTGCTGGGGTCCAAGCAGGTATCTGCTCTGCCCTCCCCTGGGTAAGGGCTCCTTGGGTTGAATGCCCCCTTCATGCCTCTTGGGCTGGGTGTATCTCAGAGTCTTTGAGACTCAAAGGCCTCTTCTTGGCTTCTGCGGTAACATCCCAGGAGTGGGGAAAAAACAAACAAACAAACAAAAAAAAAACGAGTCTCAAAATATTCTGATCTAGAAGCATCACTGATTACCACTACCGCCATTAGGGATTCCTGGGGATGAGCAGAGATGACCGGCTGCCCCAGACGGAGCTCTCGGCCAGATTCCCATCATCGGGGTGGCCGCAGAGGAGACCCTCTTTGCTGCAAGCGGCCAGCGGCCGGCCCCTGCTCAGTCCATGCCCCTGACTCCTGCCCCTGTCCCCCCAGTGCACAGGTGAGGACACAGGCCAGGGAGGGGAAGGGACCTGCCAGAGTCACCCAGCCGTGCCAGCCAGCCCAGGCCCTCCAAGCTCCAGGTCCTTTCTCCTGACTCTGGAGGGTGTCAAGGAAGTGAGGGAGGCAAGGATTCCCGAATCCCAGACACCCAGTTGTCTTCTCCCAGCATGGAGCTGGCCAGCTGGCCCGTGTCCTCCTAAACTCAGAGCGCAGGGGGTGGTGGGGGGGGGGGGGTTTGCGGGAAGGTCTGCTCCCTCTCCCCCTTCCTCGCTTTTCCACCCCCCCACCCCACCCCTCTCCCTCTTTCTACTCTTCTCCCCTTCCTCCACCTCTCTCCCCTCCCCTCCTCCCCCCTCCCCCTGGAAAGCCTCTGCACTAATGACTCACGTCTGGAGTCTGCTATCTGTGGGC